TATTTTTGGTGTACATATACATATATACGCACTCACACACACACACGCACATCAGACATCAACGGAAAACGCATAATAGGCGAAAATGAACGCCGTATACAACCTACACAAGCCCCACCTCCTAGTATGCAGCACCGGTCTGGAAACCCTCCAGACCGGGAGATACGGGTGTGGGAGTTGAAGATGAGAGTTAACTGCCTGGATTGACAGTAGAGATTATGTGGAAGTTGATGGTGGGTACACGGAGCCGCAGTGTGGATGTTCAGTCGAGCTTCACAGCCTAGTCCACTGGCCGGCAAGAGTCATTTCGAACAAATTAGCGGCCTCTAACTTTCTAACCCCCAGAGGGGGTATACACCGTCGCCTGCCTCATAGCTTGGCAACATATTAAAAACTCGACGAAATTTCAGAGTTTAGACACTAACAGCCGTTGGGACAGACATACAAACGAGCAAGGACTGGAATATGGACAAATGAATGTAATTCCGGCGCTAGCACAGGACCTGAGGGACTAGGGGGCCCCAGTGGGTACAATATTCAAGAGCAACACCGAAGCAATGTGGATTCAGCGTCATCAACATTGCTTCAACGTCGATTCAACGCCATCAACATCCATTCAACGCCATCGTCCATTCAATATCAACATCCATTCAACGCCATCGTCCATTCAATATCAACATCCATTCAACGCCATCGTCCATTCAATATCAACATCCATTCAACGCCATCGTCCATTCAATATCAACGTCCATTCAACGCCATCGTCCATTCAATATCAACATCCATTCAACGACATCGACGTCCATTCAACATCAACGTCCATTCAACGCACCAACGCCATCAAATTCGATGTAACGCCAGTGATATTGCGCCCACCGAACCATTACTTCTGACAATCATGGGAAGTCATACTAAGTAATATGGAGACCACAAACTTAACATCTAAGTATGAAAGTTTAAGTTTATTGAGAAAAGGAAGTACATCTCATAAGGATAGAGTAGCTTAGGCTATTTCTACCCTCGTCTATATAAGGTCCGTCAAGAGGCTCACAAACCCTAAACAGTACACAATCATATTCTATATTTCACATTCCAATGGTAATCACATGTCATACTGTGAGATCTCTTATTGATTATGCTGCCCCTGTAATGTCTTGTTGTGGTAAAGGCAGACTAAATAAGTTGGAGAAGGTATACAATGAAGCTATGGGGATAATCCCAAGATTATTCTCATGGCCCAAGAAATACTATTACTGAGATAATAATGATATGATTGAACTTACAGAGTATTGGGGATAGACTTTCAGAGATAAATGAAGCCTCGGCGATTAGACTAGAGGCGAGAGCTAATGAATTAATCCTCTCACTTCAAAAGGTGGGAAGAAATGAATAATGCTTGTGAAAGCATAATAAGATCCTTATGTTCTAATGTTACAAAGCATGATGTCCTTCAAGAATTTAATTGATTGGCAAAGAAAGAATGAACACCAACATGGGAGAAATATAAAGCAGATGCAGATTCTGCAGATGCAGAATGGACATAACCGGGGGGATATTAATAGGGTATTAAAAGTATCAACACAGGACAGAACACGAAACAATGGATATAAATTGGATAAGTTTAGATTTAGGAAAGACTTGGGTAAATACTGGTTCAGTAACAGGGTTGTTGATTTGTGGAACCAATTGCCGCGTAACATTGTGGAGGTGGGGTCCCTCGATTGTTTCAAGCACGGGTTGGACAAGTATATGAGTGGGATTGGGTGGTTATAGAATAGGAGCTGCCTCGTATGGGCCAATAGGCCTTCTGCAGTTACCTTTGTTCTTATGTTCTTATTTTTCCCCCTATGTTCCCAGACTCTGAACTTTGCTGCGGTTTGCATTGATAATCGACATCGCTTCATTGATAATCCAGAATCGACTTGATAAAGGTCCAGGACGGACTGAAACATCCACCATCTGGTCACCACTTGGTCCGGGAGACATCTCCCGTCACGCAGGGTGCAGTCGCACCTCCACAGATCTCCAGTATCATCTATTGATACTGGAAATGGCTCAAAAGGGCCACCACTTACGGGCTATTCATGCCCGTGCCACCTTTTGGGTGGCTTAATCTTCTCTCTCTCTCTCACTGAAACATCGTAGTCTCTTAACTTTCTAGTGTGAGGTTTAGCCAACATTTTTCAGCCACGTTATTGTGACTCATCTGCACGAGAGACATCTCCCGTCACGCAGGCTGCAGTCGCACCTCCACAGATCTCCAGTATCAGCTCTTGATACTGGTAATGGCTCAAAAGGGCCACCACTTACGGGCTATTCATGCCCGTGCCACCTTTTGGGTGGCTTAATCTTCATCAATCAATTAATCACAGATCTCCAGTATCAGCTCTTGATACTGGTAATGGCTCAAAAGAGCCACCACTTACGGGCTATTCATGCCCGTGCCACCTTTTGGGTGGCTTAATCTTCATCGTAGACTCATCTGCAATCGACATCGCCTTGTCCACACCCTCCCCAAACGTTGTTGACAGAGGCATCGTTGTCTTTACACCGTTTCTTCCTTGCTCCTGCTGTATGATCTTACCTTCCTTCGTAGCCTCGTTTACCCTGCTCATGGGAGCCGGCTTAGAATGTCTCACATGGGGCTTCATGGGACATAGACAAGAACCAGCATTGTGGATGCCTCGACAATTGCAGCAAAAATGGCAACAAATTTTCTCCTTTGTCAATCCTGACTCGACACTGTCGCGAGTCATGCTTCTTTCCACAATACCGACATCTGTGGTTAAATTGATATTTCCAATCAATATGTCCCCCAACGAGAACACTTCATGCATAATGTAGGCTTCTCAATATATTTTTCCACGCTCCTGTATCCAAATCCATGTACAAAAAGTCTTTCTGTAGCCTCACCCTTTAACAAGGCAACAATCTGGCTTTGTTTTTCATCACGTACAATGTTCCTCTTAGCCCACACAACACTTTCATTGTTGAGATGAAGAAATCTCAACAATGATATTGGTCCAAGTTTGTCAGATATTTTAAAACAATAACTTTAGTGTAAATTATTCTGACTTTAGGAATAACCAAAACAATATTCTTAAATCCGTCAGTCGTTTAATGTTCCACTGCCTTAATGTTCCACTGTTATGTTCCACTTAATGTTCCACTGTTCCACTGTTCCACTTAATGTGTTCCACTGTTAATGTTCCACTTAATGTTCCACTGTTCCACTTAATGTGTTCCACTGTTAATGTTCCACTTAATGTTCCACTGTTCCTCAAGCATTGTTGAGGCAGTTGATAGTGGTAAGGATTGCGATGTTGTATACCTTGACTTTAGCAAAGCTTTTGATACAGTGCCACATGAAAGACTGATTAAAAAAATAGAGTCTCAGGGCATGGCTATACCAAAGGAAACAGAGAGTTAGTATAAATGGAATCAAGTCAGAGTGGGAAAATGTTGTAAGTGGAGTGCCTCAAGGCTCTGTCCTGGGACCTCTGTTGTTTATAATATATATAAATGATTTAGATTCAGGTTTGAGTAGCAACATTTGCAAATTTGCCGATGATACGAAAATCGGTAGGGAAATTAATTCGGAGGAGGACTCACTATCACTTCAAGTTGATCTAGATAGGGTTTTGAAATGGTCAAAGGATTGGCAGATGCAGTTTAATGCTGATAAATGTAAAGTTCTGAGGTTAGGTAATGATGATAGAGTTACAAGATACGAGCTAGATGGTGTTGTGATTGCGAAGTCGGATTGCGAAAGGGATCTGGGAGTTATGATTAGTAAGAATTTAAAACAAAAGGATCAATGCATAAATGTTCGTAATAAGGCAAATCGGACACTTGGATTTATTAATCGCAGCGTTAGTAACAAGACACCTGGTGTGGTTCTCAAGCTATATCTTGCTCTAGTTAGGCCCCATTTAGATTATGCAGTTCAGTTTGGTCGCCATATTATAGAATGGATATAAATTCACTTGAACGTGTCCAGCGTAGGATGACTAAGTTAATTCCCCAAATTAGAAATCTTTCATATGAAGAAAGATTAACAAAGCTTAAGTTGCATTCACTGGAAAGGCGAAGAGTTAGGGGTGACATGATAGAGGTTTACAAGTGGATGAATGGACATAACGGGGGGATATTAATAGGGTATTAAAAGTATCAACACAGGACAGAACACGAAACAATGGATATAAATTGGATAAGTTTAGATTTAGGAAAGACTTGGGTAAATACTGGTTCAGTAACAGGGTTGTTGATTTGTGGAACCAATTGCCGCGTAACATTGTGGAGGTGGGGTCCCTCGATTGTTTCAAGCACGGGTTGGACAAGTATATGAGTGGGATTGGGTGGTTATAGAATAGGAGCTGCCTCGTATGGGCCAATAGGCCTTCTGCAGTTACCTTTGTTCTTATGTTCTTATGTTCTTATGGCCTTCAGCCTTCTTCGGCCACAGCTGGGCTAGGATTGTGAAGCATGAAAATGATTGATTGATTCATTAAGATTAAGCCACCCAAAAGGTGGCGCGGGCATGAATAGCCCGTAAGTGGTGGCCCTTTTGAGCCATTACCAGTATCATTAGCTGATACTGGAGATCTGTGGAGGTGCGACTGCACCCTGCGTGACGGGAGATGTCTCCCGTGATGTGAAGCATGAAAGGGCAAGAAAGCTTAAGAATTGCACTTATCCCAAATATAAACATATCGAAGTTATCTTTATTTAGTATTCATAAACGTAACACCTTATTAATATCCACTATCATACATTTGCAGGGCTCGGTAGCCCAGTTGGCTTCGTTCTCTACTTTAATTTGATAATACCGGGCAAACGAGAAATGGTTGGGCACATTTCCTATCACCTAACGGCTCTGTTCACCTAGCAGTAAATAAGTACCCGGGAGTTAGTCAGTCAATACGTCACCAAATCTTACAAGGGTAAGAGTACGAGAGATTTTATGTTTATATTTTATTGCAACATAAGACAAACGGCTGAGGACATTATATCAGGTGGTAGGCATGCCTTTGTATTTTATCTATTTTGTTTTCAAGAAATGATAGATATTCCATTGATATGGGCGAAATAGATCAAGTACGGGTGACTGGTCTATTTTGTCCAGAACAAGGGGAATATCCAATACAGGTGATAGAAATGCCCTTGTTCCAGAGGGCATGTTGATCAAATACGTGCGGCAGACATACCTAATTTACCTGAGGGCCACTAACCCTAGTGGCCTCGACGAGGACAGGAAGCCGGCGGCTCGTCGATGGTTCTCCCCTCCCCCTCCCCCCATCCACATACAATTGTTCAGGTCAGACTAGATCATATACAGGAGGTAGACATTCAGTTCTAATTGGACTAATACAGACTGTAGATATTCAGTTCAGTATGGAATAGATTATATACAGGTGATCATCTTCGTCTCTGTGCAGGGAGTCTAGTGACTTGATATTGACGACGGCTGGTATCTGAAACCCACCAACAAATAGGAGAGCTTTCTGGTGTGGCTTCAAGCGGAACATCTTATTAATTTCCAAGAGAAGTTTTCTCATGCTGCAAAGCCCAGAACACACTAGATTAATGTACTCGTCGACCACATATCCCTGCTGGGGCTTTTTACCCACTACCAGAGGTACGCTTCCTGGGTGATCGCGGCGCACCGATTTTGCTATGGAAATCCGGTCATCGAGGGAGAATATAGTCTTGAAATCCCACTCCATGTTCATGACATTAGCAATATGGTCAAGAACTAGCAGGAAGCTGAAATGCAACAACAGTCGTTAAGAGACTACGCGTGGGCAACCAACTGATCTTAGTAAGTTGTTTTAGATTCAGCTATTCGGAACAAAAACAAAAGCTCAAATAACACGGTGAGCCCGTACTGGTTTTACCTGGCACATGAGCGGAGATGCGTCGATTGATAAAGATTAAGCCACCCAAGAGGTGGCACGGGCATGAATAGCCCGTAACGGAGGAGCTGAGTCCCTTAGAAACTGCATATATATATATATCCTATCCTAGTCAGGTGATTGGGAGACATTCCTATTTATGGCCAAGTATCCACTAGGAAAATGAAACGAAAATTCCGAATGTTTCGAGTTTCACCACATTATCAAGAAATACTTGATAATGTGGTGAAACGTGTTTTTGTGATCATTCTTGCATTCCAATTTATTCCGAACGGATTTAAGAATATTGTTTTGGTTACTCTTCAAGTAGGGTTAATTTACACTAAGGTTTTTGTTTTTAAGTATCCGACATACTTGGATCCTGAATTTCTTCATCTCAACAATAAAAGTGTTGTGTGGGCTAAGAGGAACATTGTACGTGATGAAAAACAAAGCCAGATTGTTGCCTTGTTAAAGAGTGAGGCTCCAGAAAGACTTTTTGCAAGGACTAGGATACAGAAAAGTAGCAAACTATATTGAGGAGCCCACACTCTGCATGAAGTGTTCTCGTTGTGGCTTGGAAATGTCAGTTTGACCCCAGATGTCGGTACTACGGTAAGAAGCATGACTTGCGAGAGAGTAGTCAGGATTGAAACAGGAGAAAAATTCTTGTCCTCTTGCTGCAATTGTAGAGGCATCCACAATGCTGATTCCTCTCTATGTCCCATGAAGTCCCATGTTAGAGATTCCAAGCCGGCACCCACAAGCAGGGTGTGACTCTACAAGCGAGAGGCATGACTCTCGCTTCATTAGTTGTTCAGTTGTTCCCCGCCTCTCATTAATCTAATAGCCGAATCTACACGTATCTCTGAAATCATCCAGTTACAGCCCCCGCTCCTGTGCCAGGTAAGTCCACTACGGGCTCACCATAGCCCGTACTACTTAGAACGTTTTGTTCCCAGTAGCTGAATCTTAAACAACTTAAACCACATCTCTGAAAATTTTATCCACCCAATTCACCGAATCTACATGTATCTCTGCGATTCTATCCCCAATACTCAAAGTTGAATTCCATCCTCATTATCTCAATCATAGCTTTTCTTAAGCATATCAAAATTATTCTCATGGCTTCAGTTTGCTTAGTCTGCCTTTACCAAAACAAGAAATGACAGGTGCAGCACAATCAATAAGTAATCACAAAATACCAATGTTAAATGTAAAACAAGATTAATATTTGTGTACTGTATGGATGTGTGAGCCCCTTGGGGAGGGGGGACCTTAAATAGACGAGGGTAGAAATAGCCTAAGCTACTATATCCTTTTGAGATGTATTTCATTGCCTCAATAAACTTACTTGAACATTTAATTTCTCTTCATATGGAAGGCTTCTAATATGCAGGATTAACTTTGTCATCCTATGCTCGACACGTTCTAGTGAATTTGTCCATTCTATAGTATGGCGACGAAATACTGTACGAACAAAACAAAACAGCCTAATAACAAAGTATTTATCTTTTTGTCATTGCATCCTTGAACAGTATTCGTAAATATGCAACTCTTCTTGAGGTTATCTTGAGATGATTTCGGGGCTTAGCGTCCCCGCGGCCCGGTCCTCGACCAGGTCTCCTCTTTGTTACACACCCCCAGGAAACAGCCCGTAGCAGCTGTCTAACTCCCAAATACCTATTTACTGCTATCAGGATGAAAGAAACTCTGCCTATTTGTTTCCGCCTCCACCGGGGATCGAACCCGCAACTTTAGGACTACGAATCTCGAACGATGTCCACTCAGCTGCCAAGCCCCTGATGCCCCTAAACTCTGATGATATTTCGAAATGAAAATATAAATATGGCCCTAAAAACAGTAAACAGTAGTAGGGGTGATAATTATGAAGCTGAGTGAATGGGTCATATGATTAGGAAAATAATTTATTGGATTGTATAATAAACTATAAATAACCCAACCAAAAAAACTGGCCTATGGCACATATAAATGAAAATTATGACAAAAAGCCTAATAAGAAAGATATCTTTTTTAGACCTTGCATCCTTAAACAGCATTGTGGACCCCCCCCCCCCCCCTAGTATAGGGTCCCAGTAGTAATTGGGTCTGTTCTCGACTCTCTATCTAGAATTTCGGGTTCGAATCCCAGGAAGTGTAGGATTATGTGACTAAGTTTACGTATTTATTTCATTTCTATTGAGTGGAATGTATATTTAGTGTATTTGGAATTAAGTTTGAGTGGACTATATAACATAGGCTATTTAAATTTCCATACAATTCACACAGTGGAGGCTTTTACAGTGTTAGTTAGAATTCAGATTGAACAGGCGTTGTAATTATCAAAATGATATTAAAAGTTAATATAAAGCGAGTTAATTACTTGAATTGTTTAACATCCCGGTACTATATGAATGGGGTTAGTAAATATGTTCAATCTTAGCTGCTCAGATGATTTCTAATTGTAGAAGTATGGTTATCAACACTCAACACTGGAGAAATGTACGATAGACTACTGGAACATTATCTAACACAGTGCACAGTTACAAACCCAATAACTTTTCAACTTAGATTCAACAGAGCAGAAAAAGTAGTTAAAACACATGGGGGCAAAATCTTACTGAAGCGACCATACGAGTCATAAATACTCATACTTCGCCTAAGCAAAACAGAAACAAGTAACACTTAGTGGGCCAGCCAGAGGCTTAGGACCCGCACAGGAATATCCTTGCCAAAAAAAAAAAAAACCACTGACCTGTGACTAGCGTCGTCTCGAGGTTAATGGCGACGCTGCAAGTGTGTCACAACTGGACAGTCCACCTGCCGCGAATGCAGAATTAATGGGAGAAATACACAATTTATGTTAACATTCTCATTGTTTACATTCAATTAATTTGGTTATGGTTGAATGCCTATTGGTGTTTAGGGATGGACATGCTCATAACCAGCTACCAATGTTTGACCAACTCGACCTACCATCTATAATTGAATCAAACTACTAACAAATAGAAGATACTTATCCTGGGCCTGAACAGAGCCGTTGTTGTCCTCTACTAACGGCCATAATTGTGGCTTAAATGTCCGTTAAGGATATAAAGACTGTGTGTCACGATTCTCCACGTCGTTGGTTAAGCTCTCCTGACCGTCACTGCACCAAATGATTGGGCACGTTTCCTATCACCTAATGCTTCCGGTCACCTAGCAGTAAGTAGTTAGTCAGCTTGTTGTGGGGCTGTGTCCTGGGGAGGGTCAGTAGTTCTACTTTCAGAGAGGGGGGGGTGGAGGCCTCGATATAAGTTTAACGAATATATAAGCACAGGCTGCCTGTCTCCGCCAAAATAAATTACTATATTAGTCTCTTAGTTAAATGACGGTAGGGTTGAGGTTTCTTACCTGTGGCAAGTCAGTTACTCTGGGGTAATTGTTTGGTGACTGACACATTGGTTCCAGCCTTCCTCCCTGGGATTTTGTTGTTGCCAGACTACTATTGTTGGTTTAGGGGCCACGACGCAGGGTTGCTAGATCCGAATTGCTGAAAGTAGCGAACTGACAGGTCTAAAAGTAGCGATTTTGTAATTAAAGTAGCCCAATATTTTGTTTAGCGGTTGATACGGTTTTAAAAATATAATTTAACACTACATGATTTAATGATTGTATTAATATTACCACTGCATTTATATAATAAAAACCGTGATCATTGGATAGCTTACTAATACAGTATCTGGTGCATGAAACATAATTTACCTGGTAAATTATGCTTCGTGCAGCAAATATTAGAAAGTTATCCAATGGTCACTTTTTTTTGTATTATATATATGGATGTAGAGTCTCTCCACGTCTTCACAGTTGAAGAATATCAAGATCTTCGTCTGCATCCACAACCTCATTCTTCTATATTGCAGACACATTTTATGACTGACATGCGTGGTTCAAATTACGAACATGGGCCTATTGGTCCATAGATTGATTGATGAAGATTAAGCCACCCAAAAGGTGGCACGGGCATGAATAGCCCGTAAGTGGTGGCCCTTTTGAGCCATTACCAGTATCAAGAGCTGATACTGGAGGTGTCCAGGCAGGCGAGTGGAGGTGCGACTGCACCCTGCGTGACGGAAGATGTCTCCCGTCTTGGCCCATACAACTCAGCTCTTATTTATATCCGCCCAATCTCATTCATATATGTCTAACCTACACTAGAAACACTCCTACTTCAATTATGTTTCGTGGTAATTGGTTCCACAAATCAACCAAGGGAGGCAAGTACCGGCCCTACCCTACACAAGAGACCACTGGGTAGTCAAAATAAAAACACGGCCCCTCCTGAAACGCAAAATGTCTTCCAGTGCCCTCCGGCAGAGCAAAAGCCAGAAACCCACGAAGAACAGCCAGCGCTGGACACCGTCTCCAACTCCCAAAGAACCGGTCAGAAAACATTCAAAATTTATCAACTTTCCTGTGTCCCTAGACAATATGTGCGCCAGGAAACAATCCGGACCGTTGAATAGAAATACCAGACGGTAGTATCAAAACCCTATGGGTAAAATGGCATAAAGGAACGTGATCCAGAACGTGAAACGTACCAAGGGGAGCGGGTGTCCAGGCAGGCGAGCGTCAAGGTTGAACCAGGAGAGTTGACGGACTGACGACGGTCTTTAGTGTTGTTGGTTTAGATTCAGCTACTCTGGATATAAAGTTCCAAGTCGCACGGGCTATGGTTAGCCTGGAGACGGTCTTCAGGAGTCGCCTTGTTATTAACCCTTTTCGGGGTGGTGGTTTCCGGGAATTTTCTCTGGTTTAAAATCTACGAAGACTAAACCACACAAAGATGAAGAGCAGACGACGTTTCGGTCCGTCCTGGACCAGTATCAAGTCGATTACGGTCTACACAATATCCAAAATTTGTATGACTATTTTGCATTTGAATTATTATTTAATAGATATTTGAAAATTGTTATGCATTTTTGAGTTAATCGTGAATTTTGGTTACAGACGGAAATACGTGCCTAAATGTCACCTATCTTGAGATGATTTCGGGACTTTTTTTTAGTGTCCCCGCGGCCCGGTCCTCGACCAGGCCTCCACCCCCAGGAAGCAGCCCGTGACAGCTGACTAACACCCAGGTACCTATTTTACTGCTAGGTAACAGGGGCATAGGGTGAAAGAAACTCTGCCCATTGTTTCTCGCCGGCGCCTGGGATCGAACCCAGGATCACAAGTCCCGCGTGTTGTCCGCTCGGCCGACCGGCTCCCGATAATTGATAATTTTTTCGCATGAATATTACACACGCTGTGGGCCGCAGAAATCCAGGTCACCACTTGTGATTTGGTCCTCCCTGATCCTAGGTTTAGGAGTCATTGTATCTTAGATAAGACCCGCCATTCTTTGCCATCGACAATGTTGTGCTTTCGCTCTTGTGAGACGTAATTGTTTCTCCAAAACCTTTACCACTTGGAATACGTCCTCAGATTCTTCAGAAGTGTGAGTTTGACTATTTTTTGAGACACATGTTGCCTTAAGAAAATGACACTGTTAAGATACCCGTGGATGGCCGCGTGGTCTCAAAATGGCACTGAATGTGGCACTAGAATTTCTGCCATGAGCCACTGTCACAAAGGTGGGGTAAATTTAATTGTGGTAGGCGTAATGCTGCTAAATTATATAATACGACATATCCAGTCATCGTATTTGGTGGAAACGCTATATTTATGGTGGTTTAGATGTCAGAAGGCTCACTTAATTGGTTCAAGCGTAGGTTAGACATTCTGTATATATATATATATATATATATATATATATATATATATATATATATATATATATATATATATATATATATATATATATATATATATATATATATATATATATATATATATATATATATATATATATATATATATACATATATATATATATATACATATATACTGTATATATATATATATGTATATACATATATACTGTATATATATATATATGTATATACATATATATATATATATATATATATATATATATATATATATATATATATATATATATATATATATATATATATATATATATATATATATATATATATATATATATATATATGTCGTACCTAGTAGCCAGAACGCACTTCTCAGCCTACTATACAAGGCCCGATTTGCCTAATAAGCCAAGTTTTCATGAATTAATTGTTTTTCGACTACCTAACCTACCTAACCTAACCTAACCTAACTTTTTCGGCTTCCTAACCTAACCTAACCTATAAAGATAGGTTAGGTTAGGTTAGGTAGGGTTGGTTAGGTTCGGTCATATATCTACGTTAATTTTAACTCCAATAAAAAAAATTGATCTCATACATAATGAAATGGGTAGCTTTATCATTTCATAAGAAAAAAAATAGAGAAAATATATTAATTCAGGAAAACTTGGCTTATTAGGCAAATTGAGCCTTGCATAGCAGGCCGAATACGACGTTCTGGCTACTAGGTACAACATATATATATATATATATATATATATATATATATATATATATATATATATATATATATATATATATATATATATGTCGTACCTAGTAGCCAGAACGCACTTCTCGGCCTACTATGCAAGGCCCGATTTGCCTAATAGGCCGAGTTATTTTCGTTATTTTCAATAAATTGCTTCCAATTAGTTTATTTGAATTATTATTAATATATTATATTAAGAACATACATTATTGACTTAGTTGTGTTAGTTTAGATTAGGTTAAGATAGGTTAGGTTAGGTTAGGTTGGGTTGGTTAGGTTTGGTCATATATCTACATTAGTTTTGACTCAAATTTAAGAAAATTAACTCATACATAATAAAATGGATACCTTTATCATTTCGTAAGAACAAAATTAGAATAATATATAAATTCAGGAAAACTTGGCTTATTAGGCAAATCGGGCCTTGCATAGTAGGCCAAGTACTGCATTCTGGCTACTAGGTACAACATATATATATATCATATTTGGCCTCATAGTTCTAGTCCCCTCGAAATTATATACTATAATAATAAGTTTTGTCAGGAACAGTCACCCTAAGTACATACTGTACATTAAGTATTGAGACTCCCTAAGGTTGAACTACTGACCCTCCTCAAGATGCAACTCTACAACAGATGACTAAATCCTGGGAATCTATAGTTATTGCTAGGTAAAGGAAGGTATTAGGTGAAAGGAAACGTACCCTACCATTTGTCACAACCTGAATTCGAACCCGGATCCTTGCTAGATGTTCTCTCATGGATGCTGTGGTCCATGAAAGAACATAGAAGTTGGTGCAGTTAAAGGTTTGGCCATTTTATATCTTAGTGGATAATAAATTGTGTCTCTTAATAAATGTAAACTCTCACCCCTTTTATAGAGTCAGCTTAATTACTGTAGGTGTAGGTACTGTATATATGTATTTACGTATGTAGGTTAGCTTAGCATTTTAAAAGCACCGAATCACCTTCTGTGGTTGAGTGTTCAATAAACCCTTGAACTACATGTTTAACACTTCTCTAACCCTGTCCATGTAGGACAGAAGAAAATGTATATATGCTGGTTAGCATTGTAAATGTGTGGCCACGTCTGTGGTAGAAAATAATAATAAAAAAAAAAAAAAAAAAAAAAAAACTGTAGGTATATATTACTTAGTACTAATACTGAAATCCTGGCCAAACGGTGACCTTGTAGAATGATCCTAATCAAACTGTGGTCTGTGGTCTTTCAAAATGTTCCTGACCAAACCATGGCCTTGCAAAATGATCCTGACCAAACCGTGGTCTTGCAAAATGATCCTGACCAAACTGTGGTCTTGCAAAATGATCATGATTATTGATGCACCTCAGGCTGAACAAACCAAGCCTCATTCACCAAATGCTCTGGGAACCAGCCATCTCATTCTTAACCATAAAAGAGAAAATTTCAGACAAAGAAATGCCCACCTGACCCATCATAAGAACAGAAACCCTGCTTCCAAAGTATGAAACTCCTTAACTCAACAGTATAACCAACTACAAGTTACTATTCTAAATGTGTGTTAAATCAATGAATCTTTTTAATAGTACTTTAATAATTTATTTAATAATTTCATACATTAGATATTATTTACACTAAGCACAACAATATTTTATTTAATATAAATATGAAAGCATGTTGAAAATATGTGGAATGTCAATCATGTGAATCACTTAAGCCTGTTCCCCTACCCCCCATGAAATTTCCATTCTTTTAGGTTTCTCGCTGCCACTATAGCATCATAATGGCAGATAAAAATATAAATTTGAAAGCTATATAATGGTACAGTATTTTAAATTTTTTGGAGTGAGTTTTTGGATACTTCCTAAGATAACCACAAAAACAGAATCAGATAATCAGAAATATAACTGACTAACAGATTCCAGAGCATCATTTACACCCTGTTTAATAACACAACATGCAAATAAAGAATAATACTAGTACTTTATTAATTACAATAACAAAAATTTAATCTTTAAGAACTTTATCAATGAATTTTGAAGATAATACAAAAATTTACAGACTGCAAGAATTCTAAAAGTATTCTCTAATCTAATTTTGTTTTTCTGTTTGACTCTTAGAACTCTAACCTAATGAAGTCACTTTAAAAGACAAAATACACAAAAAAAATCATATTTATATGTATACTGTATATATTAATAGCTTTCAAAATATTAAACAGAATATTCAAATTTTATTTAGCTTGACAAAGTGTATTACATCACATTTAAACACAAACATTATTGCCCAAAGATTGAGAAATATGGCTTGATCCTTGATAGAATTATTGGGAAATATATCTTTGCTGTAAAACTGTGATGGTAAATTTATCTTATATTAATATACTGTATAATGAAGCACCAAAAAAACTGCTAAATAACTCCATGCTGAAAAACTGTGATGGTAAATTTACCTTATATTAATACAATATACTGAACAGGTATAATGAAACACCGAAAAAAATGCTAAATAACTCCATGATAAAAAAATCAACAATTTCACACTCGACTTCATGAAAATCGTAGTGGGGTTGCTACAGATGCCGATATTTCTAAATGTGTGGCACTGGACCTGACCCCTACTGGCTTTTGACACTCCCATACTCTCCATGTGTCATCTTGCAAAGTTGGGCGAGGCTAGCCCCAAGCATCTGGCCTCCAACCTTGGACAGACAGACAGACAGATGCTCTTTTATTGACATGGAGGTGTGTATGCATGCAGTTAAATTTGCTCTTAACAAAATACAGATGAACATTTATTCATTCACAAAATACATTTACTTCAGTAGAATATTTTGTCATGAGTTTAACTTCATACAACAAATTTCACAATGAATGAGACATTGTATGATTAAGGAACCATTAAAAGTCTGGCTCTATTTCAAAAGGCTGAGTAAAACTAACTTTAATTCTGTACATAATGAAGTGCAATGCAATGGTTCCCAGGTAATATATAGAAAACAGTAGAACAGTTGGCCCAAGTTACCCATGGACACTACCACTAAAGTAGTTCAGAATGTCTACCTTTTTTTTCAAACTTATGATAGTTATGCTCTTTGGCTACAAACTTATTTTTACACCCCCTACAAGTCTTCTAAAAAGCTTGCCATCTCTGTACATTCCTCCTCTTAATATTCTCTTCTTATGTTATTCACTTTTACTGCTTGTATTTCAAACCTTTTAATGGTTTCCTTTTTCCAATTTTTCAAATTTATATATTCTGTTGAGTTAGTCCCGATTCTTGCACCATGTTTGTTTTTGTGCCAGAAAAAATTGAATGTTTTATTTAAGTGATAACCAAACAAGGTTTAGAAAAATATTTATAATTACTACTTCATAGGTTTTTCAAATATCCTTAAATGCTTAAAAGAGAATTGCTTTCCTTTATTTATTATGCATGTAACACAATAAAGTATTTTTAGCCAGTTAAGTATTTTCTTCCATAAAAGTGTGCCTTCTTTTCAAATGCTGCAGACTTGATGGGGCTATTTGGAGTGTAGAAAGGGTTCATGGAGTGCTGCAAAAGAAAAATAAGTCTTATTATTTATGTAAATAAATAAATAAATAAATAAATAAATATATAAATAAATATATATATATATATATATATATATATATATATATATATATATATATATATATATATATATATATATATATATATATATATATATATGTCGTACCTAGTAGCCAGAACGCACTTTTTGGCCTATTATTCAAGGCCCGATTTGCCTAATAAGCCAAGTTTTCCTGAATTAATACATTTTCTCTAATTTTTTTCTTATGAAATGATAAAGCTACCCATTTCATTATGTATGAGGTCAATTTTTTTTTATTGGAGTTAAAATTAACGTAGATATATGACCGAACCTAACCAACCCTACCTAACCTAACCTAACCTATCTTTATAGGTTAGGTTAGGTTAGGTAGCCGAAAAAGTTAGGTTAGGTAGGTTAGGTAGTCGAAAGAACATTAATTCATGAAAACTTGGCTTATTAGGCAAATCGGGCCTTGCATAGTAGGCTGAGAGGTGAGTTCTGGCTACTAGGTACGACATATATATATATATATATGTCGTACCTAGTAGCCAGAACGCACTTCTCAGCCTACTATGCAAAGCCCGATTTGCCTAATAAGCCATGTTTTCGTGAATTAATTGTTTTTCGGCTACCTAACCTATCTAACCTAACCTAACCTAACTTTTTCGGCTACCTAACCTAACCTAACCTATAAAGATAGGTTAGGTTAGATTAGGAAGGGTTGGTTAGGTCTGGTCATATATCTACGTTAATTTTAACTCCAATAAAAAAAAATTGACCTCATACATTATGAAATGGGTAGCTTTATCATTTCATAAGAAAAAAATTAGAGAAAATATATTAATTCAGGAAAACTTGGCTTATTAGGCAAATCGGGCCTTGCATAGTAGGCTGAGAAGTGCGTTCTGGCTACTAGGTACGACATATATATATATATATATATATATATATATATATATAAACAAATAAAATAAACTTTTAATCACCATTTCAAACAACTTACTTCTCAGTGCAGTGAGAGGAATATTTTGTTTATCATCTCCACCAGTAGGAGCTAGTTTATTGTGCATCCACTTTCTTGTACAGTACACTGCCACTCGTCCTATGGCAGTGTACAAGGATTGGAGACAACACAAGGGGTCTTAATCAAACTTCAGTGAATATTTTATATTAGACTTTACAATTTATTTGCACTCTTTATAATTACAGTAATTATAAGGATAGCTAGTAACGAATTTGTTGCACCGCAATTAATTAGTACATATTATTATACAGTGGAGGTACTTTATATTGCAACCTGCTTTAATTGGGCAACCATGCTCTAAAGCTTCTACAGTACCTCACCTCTCTCTGCCCCATACTTGCTTTGAACCAATTACATCCAATTTTGATACCTCTTCGATAACTCAATAAATGCACTTAACCTTGAATTTGAACCTCTTTCCTTTTGCTGACCAGAGAGCTGGTAAGCAGGGATAGGTTAGGGTTACAGGATATCTTGAGTAGGGAATGGGATACGAAGAATACAGAAGAGTTACAGCATGGTAGCCCATCCACCTTGGAAGAGAACTTGCCAGTGGTAGATGGTGGTGATGAATATCTTGCCATGTTTAAGGTTGATTGGCTCTAGATTACGACGCCAGTACTGTATTGATAATTTGGTCTTCGTGATAATTCTGGTCTTTGTACTGGTACTTCCAATTGCTTGTGGGGTTGCAGTGCCCGTTTATGCTTCAAAGGGGTACTGCTATTGTTTTATAGGTTGTGGGCATTGTTGTTAAATGGAAGTTGGTTGTCCTTGTGGGTATAGCTCATGGTATGTGGGATCGAAGTTCTCCCTTTATAGGTTGTTGAGGTTACCGCAGTGCTGCATGGTCTCAGCATCACCATACCAGTGTTCCGGGGTGCACTTGACCCTGATTGCATTGTTGCCCATCTTGGTAGTTATGCGCCTTTGCTTCGGGGTATATTTGGTGTAGCTCATGTTTGGTATGAAGAGGATCTGGCATTCTTCTTTGAAGACTGGCATACTGGAGTCATGCAAGTCATATTCAGAGTTGTCTGATGAATCTGAATCATCCCAGCTTTGTAAGTGTATTTCCACCTGTTGCCATAGTTGGTGCAGTTGCAGGATCAGGTGCAGGACTGATAGGTACTTCCAGTGAGGCAGGGGTAGGCATTTGTGCCGGGCCCTGACATACTGGTGTCGATATTGCAGGATTAGAAGGTTGACAGGTACTGCAATACTCGGTAGTCCATTTGTGGTGAGTAGCCTGTTGATGGTGGGTACAAACAGCCCAGTGTTGATGCCCACCATTTTGTTAGTGAGGTGGAAGAGGATAAGTATTAAGCTATTCTATGGTGGTGGCTGCAAGTGAGTTAAGTGGTGGTGAGGTCAGCTGGGTGTGGGTTCCCCAGGGCAGGTGAGGTAGCTGCATCTCCAGGTGAGTTACCAAGCAGAGGGGGGGAAATGCTGATGTTTGCGTGTCTGGAGGTGCTGGCAGAGGAGGTATGATGGATGCTGTATTCCCAACCATTTTCTTGAGTTCCTTTGTCTGTGAAGAGCAATTGGGTGAGATGCAGATTCTCCATTGCAGAATAGATAGCATTGCTGGCTAGCAATTCAGTTCTTGCAGAGGTGGTCCCGGGTGTAAATACTGCATTTTGCTTCTTGTTGTGTGCATTTCCTGGTGAAATGGGTGTACTGGTAGCACTTGAAGCACTGTTTTAGCTCCAGAGATCCCTCCTTTTTCACAAGGGCATGTGGTGTTGTAATTCTGTAACATCTAAAGCTGTTTTCAGCAGCAAGGGTCACTGAAGTGGACGTGCTGAAGGTCACCTTCAGTGTCAGTCACAAGTTTTGTCATTGCTGGTAATGATTTTAGCTGCCATTGCAGTCAGTATAGAGTTCTGGGTGTGTTGATGCTGGTGATAATCTCGCCAGTTTTGTGGTCGGTAATCCATGAGCTGATTCGTTTGGCAAATATGGTCCTATCTGCTGGGTCGTTTCATAGTGGAGTGAGTATGAGGTTGGCAACTAGCAGAGTGGCCTGGTTGGTGTGGAAAGCCGTTTAACGAGGTCCTCATCATTGGAGAAGAATAGGTCAACACCATCTCTGTCTTCTCGAATGTCGATTGGTGAAATGTTGGAGTTTTTCTCAAGTACCTCAGCCTTAGAGAAAATACTTCAGCCTTGGAGAATGAGTGGGTATCCTGGAATCAAACCTTGACCATGTGTGGCATGGTCACAGTACCACTGTACCATAGATGGTGCAAGAAACAGAACACTCAAGCTGCTACCCCCCCCCCCCCCCCCCCCCCCTCCCCCCCCCCTCCCTCCTTCAATGGGATGCAGTATTGATGAGAGAAGGTGCCTGTGTTAGAGCAGAGGAGCTGCAGCCACTCTCATTGCTAGCTGGTGTGTTAATCTATCTGTGATCTGTGTGATATGTGTTGTAATCTTGATACCTCATTCATAATTAATAGAGATAGTCAGTGGTACATTAACAATTTGTAAATAATAGTGAAGCAAATTCAAATTAGAACTTCCCAGCCCCTATATGCTGAGGTAAGAGTCTCTTTGATCAAATCTGGCAGCAAAACTTATTTGAATGGCCACTGTAAAGCCATGGTGAGCAAGGAGTGGACACCAGTCATAAATTGAGGGTTGTTGGTTTTACTGACCCTTATTGTGTGGGTGCAATCACCTGGTGGTGATCAAAGTAACTTTTGTGAACTAATTAAATAATAATAATGCATCAATAATCTGCATTTCCTGTGTATCTGATTATTGTTTACAGGGGGTGTTGATGGTACTGTTCTGTTTTTTTATTTTTTTGTCTAATATCGGACAGCTCTTCATGGTGGCTTGAGTTAGACTCATAACCATCTTCCTTCCTTCAAATTTTTTTACAAGATCATTTACAAAGTATTTGTCACAGAGGGGAAGACAAAGTTAACGAGAGCCTGACAGGTGGTGACGTGAGTCCTGGCTGAACCACTGGGATCCTGGCTCAAAAAGCATTCAATGGGCTTGTTCATGCAAATAATATCAATTAGTTTTAGCCAATTATAATACATGTCACTTCATTCAGGCAAATCATCCTTACCAATAATGTACCTTCAGACACTTTGCACAAGAATAGCATATGAAAAGCCAATAAAAAATATTCACCAAATTGCTGCTTACCTTTATATATGTTTCATACATTTCCATAAAGAAATTTTTAATTCCATCATCATTTTTCACATCATGGAGACAGATGAGTCTTATCCTCCCGGCAGTTACAAAAGCAGACACATACCTTAAACAAAAATTAAGTAATTAATTCAATTGTACAAGAAACCATCTAAATATACTGGTAAACATTAACATAGTGGTTCAGTATATTAAAAGAACATGTAATCAAAGCATACTGCTTACACATATGCAATCTAGATTACTTAACTGTGTATGATTGCATTTGAAGTCTTTCTGTAAACACAACCATTTTTAATGTAACAAGTAGAGTGTATGATAATTCATAGCTATTCTCAGAGTTGACAATTGCTATTGATTTTTGCATTACTGTACTTACTCAGAAATTAGACATAGCAGTAAAAAATCCAGGAAAAATCTTATAATGCTTGAACTGTGCTTGCAAAGTCCATTTTTGTAATACACAGAAGTAAGAATGTGACCCTTCATGAGCTGTGGGATTAATAATCAACAATCAATGGTTTGAAAAGTTCTGGTGCAGAACGCTTACCTGCCTGGACTATGGCAGATCTTAACAAGGGTCAGTAGGATCTTGCCTTAGGGAGAAAGTGTGTGGAGTTGCTCAGAACAACTTTAGTGATTTTGGCATAAAAATAAATAAGAAAAAGGGGATAAAGCCATGATGTATCTCCCCAATGGGAGTAACTAATAATATGGCCTTAAATAAATTCAAATATAAAATTACTGTATTGCCATATACTGCATATCAATGTTCTTAACAAAAATGTACACCTAATTTTAACTTACCATTCATTGAACTTGTCAACCAGTTTAAGATACATGCTTGATGTGGTCCACATGCTCTCGTCCACTAGATCCAGGGCTGCATGAGCAATGAATTGGTTGAGATGCCTGTGATCTTCCTTCTGCAATATTATCGTTATTTAATATACTGTATTAAGAGAATTTTTTTGCATAAACCAGATCACAAGTTTATTTTATTTTAAAGGTCATATACAAGAATTTTGAAAATTGCAAGCAGAAGTATAATAATAATAGCAACTGGAATGAAAGAGCACAAAACTGATTTTCATAGCTTATCCATTCAACTAGCTTTAGTGGAAGGTAATGTATAATGATTGATCCAGTATTTGAACACTGCTTTACAAACAAATCATTCACAATTCACTCAAAACAAGTGCTAGGCTTACTGAACACAGGCTAGAAAACTTGGGAAAGGAAATGTTTTCCAGCTCAGCCACCTAATGGAATGAAATACATTGGCATATTTTCAATGGAGAAGAGTGACTAGTTTTGTTAGTGTATTTTGTGTGTTATTATAATTTTTGATAATACTGTATTTTAAATGATAATAACTATAATTATCATTTTAAGTTTTCATCCCGTGTAACCAACAGATTTATTGCAAAATATACAATAAATACATGGTTAAAATGGTTTAGGGTTGACATGATAGGGGTTGGGGAAAAGAGAGGTGAATAGAATGAGGGATGTTGTGGGACTTTGTTGACAGACATGTATGGTGTAACAGTACCAAGAAGAGTGAATATTTTACAAGTCTATCAGTTACACTTGGTGAAAAATAAAGGACAAATATTTCAGAATGAATGAGGGGCAGCAGAAGACGACAAGTAGAACAAAGGATGATACTGTAGTTGGAAATTAGAGACGCTATGAGTATGTTAAAGAGGGGGGAAAAGGCTCCTAACATGGTTGGAATAACTGTAGATATGCTAAAGAATGGCAGGGGTGAGATGATGGTGAACATAATATTAGATATTTTATAATATTATATATACCACATGGTGTTGTAGGAGAGTAAGGTATCTAGATAACTGGACTAAAGCCACTTTGGTTTATGTATATGGTAAATGGTACTGTAGTAGGGAAGAATGTGGAAACTACAGGTGGATTAGTTTATCTAGCATCCAAGGAAAAATGTATTCAAGGGGTGCAAATTGAGAGAGTAAGAAAGATAACAGAATGTAGGATTGGTGAGGAACAGTGTGGATTTTGGTAGGGAAGGGGCAGTGCAAATAAGATTTTTAGTCTTATAATGGTTTTTTAAATATTTCTAGCAAAATGAAGAATTGTGAAAGATTTTAAAGATCTATGGGGTAGAATGGCATTTATTGACAGCTCAGTAAAATTCTTATACAGTGGAACCTCGGTTTTCGAATGCACCTAATTTCGAATTTTTTGGTTCTCGAGCTCAATTTCTTCAAAAAATTTGACTATATACTCGAGGTTTGCCTCAGTGCTCAAGTTTGTTGATACACATATGGGCCGACCGAGCGCATGGCATGCTTCAGTTTACTATTATCTCCTGCCTAATGACAACTGTGCATGAATTCTTTTTAAATAATTTCATTGTTTTTGTGCTTTTTTTTTTTTTGTTTCTGAACATAAAAGTTTTTATTATATATCATGCCATGGGTTCCAAGAAAGTCAGTGGTAGAGTTCAACCTAAGAAAATAGTTGTGAAGGTGACAATAGAAGAAAAACAAGAGATCATTCATAGTGAGACAATGTATTCACCCAGCTGTATTCACCTAATTGTACTTGTGGGGGTTGAGCTCTGCTCTTTTGGCCCACCTCTCAACTGTCAATAAATCAACTGTAGGAAGCCTGTTAGGCTTACTGAAGCCTTCAGGAAGCCTGTTAGCCTTACTAAAGTTTTCTTAGGTCAACTATTGACCTTCCTCAGGATGTAACTCAAAACTGTTGTCTAACTCCCAGATACATATTTGTTGTTAGGTAAATAGAGACATCAGATTTAAAATGTAAGAGAGAGACCCTTGTGTAGGAAGAAATAGCAGTGTTAAATGTTGAAAAACAGTCTGGAACTCTGACCCCTTTCAGATGCACAGAGCATCATCTCAGCAGGAAAATGTCATCTAAAAATCAATGTAAACAAAAGGGATAAAATAGTTTAAAAAAAAGCAGATTCAATGCAAGAAAATATAGAGAAACAACAGTGTTGTTAAATGTAGAAAAACAGCCTGGAACATTATAAGACATATAAATGAAGCACTGAGAAATGTGTATGACATGTATAGGGAGGAGACATTATTGGAACCAGGCAGGCAGAGACATGTGCAAGCCCCTATCTGTCACTTGGGAGAGAGAGGCAGTGAGAATAAGACCAGTGTTGTGGATGGTCTCCAACAAATATGATAAGTGCAGTATTATAGATGTTTATAGCGGTGCTTCCCCTTTTCTTTATGAGTTAGAGATAGGAATTTGCAGAAATAAGGATTTTGGAACCCTGTGTGTAGGGAGAGTGGGGTGTTGTTAATTCAGGTGTATGTGCTCAGCTGTGTGTCACATGGGGGTTATCCACATTTATTTTGTATATCCATTTGTGTATTGTGGTCAGAGTAGTGTATTATTAAAACCCAGGTCTTTTGTAGTGACCTAAGAGGAGTGGAATAAAGTAATGATCTTAAGTCCCAGGTTGTAGAGGGAGAAGGAACTTCCCCCTCCTTGTCTGTATCAATCCTGTGGTGGATTCAAGTACACCCCCCCCCCCCCTGTTCTAATCAGTGTGAGGAAATCTGGTATTTGTTAAATAAAAACCTTTTTGTAAATTGTACCCCAAGGTGTATTTCTTGTCCCATGTAGTTTGGTGATTATTAATATAGACCCCTGTACTTCCATTATTTATAAGAAAGTAAGAGCGGGTGTTGTTAGCGATACTTTAGGGTACGGCTTTCAATCCCGTACCTTACATTATACATACCAGAAAAAGATTCCAAATTTTTTCACTAGTCAATGAACAAATGAAGATAATCTATGCATGAAATTAGCAAAGAAAATACAGATAAGTCTCTTTTAATTTTAGTGAGCCAAATGAATACGGGTGAAAACTTTTGAGCAAAGTTAGTCTTGATTCACTGTTTCCTTCCAATGAATAGAGAAGAGGATACTTTTGCTAATTCTTTAAACAGCCTAATAATTTTGTCATTTAATTTAGTACTGTGTAATCAGAGTGGTGGGGAATTACACTTCAGTAATTACATCAAAACTCACCCTAAGATTATAATGTGCTGTCACGGAACAGGAGGCCTGTATTTAGGCCTCCATCCTAGGACGATCTACTGACCTTTCCTCATATCCAATCCATAACAGTTGCCTAACTTCCAGGTAACTATTTACAGCTAGGTCTAAGGTCTAAGGTCTGAACAAAGGTCTAAGACAAAAGGAAATGTGTCCAACCCTTTCTGTCCCACCAAGGGATCAAACCCAGAATTCATGATTATGAATTAAGAACAAAGACCACTCATGCACTCTACTCCTGGGTGTTGGAAATGCTAACAGATATTAAAAATGTTCTAACATTTGTAAATAGAACTTACAATAATGAAATTGAATCCAATTATGGTGGTGGACAAATGTAAAACTGATAACACAGCATAAGGTACCTAACCTTGGGCTCCTTATTGGCAGGGGTAAACTCCATCTCAAACACTGGGTTGTCATGGTGACCAACGATAGCAAAGTAGTAGTTCCCAGATACTGCCATTATCAACACCAGCTTCCTGAAAATATATTAAATCTATATATTTATGATGGTAATGATGTGTATACAGTGGCACCACGCTTAAAACGAGCTAACTTGGTTCAGACCCATTACATTGTAGCAAGAATTCTGGCTCACTGAGTTTCACTATTTTTCATTACCAGCATTTATTTATAATATAAAATCCTAACCTAAATGATAAAACACATCTTTGCATATACATATACAGTATAGACATCTAAGTGATATATAAGTACAAAATTAATTTCAAACATACTTAACCACTGCACTGCGCCTAACGACAAAAGCTGTTTCGATGAGTTGCCCGTTTTTTTTTTTAATTAGGCTATATTTTAATGTTTTTTTTAATATTTTCATCACTCTTTGTGTTTTGAAATGAAAATAGTTGAGTTTGAAAACATTTTGACATTAACTTTGACTTGAACATTTACAAAAACAACAAAAATATGTCCTTAACAATTACACTGTGACGTTTTTTCCTAAAACAGGTGCGCAGTGCACGGGTTAAAGATAAAACAGGGTAAAAATATAAAAATTTGGAAAAAATTTAAATTAGTGTTATACTTACCTTTGAGAAGACCTATTTTTCCCTTTGTTAATTACTGTACCAGAAATGTTGGTATACAGAATAGTACTGTTGCCCCTGTATTCAATACAAAACACTACAAACTACCACACTATGGTGCCACATAAACCATTTACAAGGAGCCTAATTTAACTCTTCATACTTAAATTTCTTGAGTAATTTTTCACTTTGAACCCTTGTCACTAGTTGTCTCTCATTTGACACTTCTCAGACATCCTCACTTTCATCAATTAATTTTGCATTTTTTCTCCCCTTCCATCTTGAGATACCTTTCCTTCCTAATCTTGGTTTATCCCAACTGCTACTAGTGCTGGTAGATATCTTTTCAACACACAACAAAATAATCATAGAAAAATGTTTTTTTTTTTTTTTTTTTTTTTTTTATTATTTTCTACCACAGACGTGGCCACACATTTACAATGCTAACCAGCATATATACATTTTCTTCTGTCCTCCATGGACAGGGTTAGAGAAAAGTTAAACATAGAGTTCAAGGGTTTATTGAACACTCAACCACAGAAGGTGATTCGGTGCTTTTAAAATGCTAAGCTAACCTACATACGTAAATACATAGATACACAGATTTACGTATGCCCTACATAAAGTGTTTGATGTGGGTTAAAAATTCCCCAGCTTTGCCTTTGACCAGAAGCACCGGTTTTCTCCTCTAGCGAGCGTAGTGGTCTTATGGGATAGTGTCAAATGCTTTCTAACAAAGCTGCAGTAATCTACTCAAACAACTCATTTAATTATCATCATCATCTTGTAAAACTCTTAAAAAAACTCTTGTAAAAAAAAAAATTACCTGTTAAAAGTATTCTTCAAGACTTTTTTTTAATCATTTTCTCTAGTAAACTTCAGAGAGCTTTTTGGTGATATTGGTACTGTAGTTCATAGTCTTTCCCTTATTTTATGCAAATAGGTGCCACATTAGCCATTTTCTAATAGTGTAGTGGCTTTCTTTTTTCCAGTGAGGAGTTGAATACTAGAGTAAGAAGTCAACAATGTTCCTGCTGCCTCTTTTAGAATCCACAGTATAATCATGTCTGGAACTGTGGATTTCATCCCATCCAGTTCCTCTTGCCGTCTTCTTACTATACCTCATCTTGTGTCACTTCCATTTTAGTGGGTTTCCTTTGTTGGTATCTTTTCACTTAGGCCATTTAGACCTTATGGCAGGTCAGGCTCCAGCTTGAAAACTTTCATTAAGTAAAAAATCTTACCTCCAGACAGCATATTGCTGTCCAGTTATGTACAGTAGTGTTATTTGTGCCTTTAATAGATGATTCTGAAGCTTAAATAAGCTGGTGAAAAATCCCACTTTCTTTGACAAGTAGAAAATGATTTTCAAAGGAAAGCACTAAGCCAGTACATTATGGCTATATAGTACTGTTTATTACAGAATATTAAAGAGCTCCTAGATATTCAGGATCCCAAAGTTAGAGCAAAAAGATTTAAGACTATCGGTGTCAAAGGAATCATATTCATCAAGGACTTTATCGAAGTACGAGTGACAGATATGACCATATTAAAAGAGATTTACAATCTTAAACATTGCAACATTCTACAAGGAGGTTAGTGACTGTTAGCAGAACAGTGTAGTTTTGATAGTAAGGTGACTATGAGTTAATCTTGTGTTTGTAAAGCCAATTCAGAATATAACTTGACCCCGAGTTATTTCCCATGTCCTATTTCAGTGACATGCAAAAAGTTGCAGAAATGGGTCACATTTGAAAGCACATAATTTGTAATTTATAGTAGCTAGGCAAGGGAATTATCAGGGGGAAAGCGCCAAGCCATAGCAACTATAGTATATAGCGCTGGGAAGGGGTCAGGATAAGGATTTGGGATGGGACGGGGGAAAGGAATGGTGCCCAACCACTTGGACGGTCAGGGATTGAGCGCTGACCTGCATGAAGCGAGAACGTCGCTCTACCGTCCAACCCAAGTGGTTGGGTTTTATAGTAGCTGTCTCTCTAACTGTGGCAGATTGTATTATGAATGACAGTTCACTTATCGTGGGATGGGGCAGGCATGAACGGTTTACAGTATTTAGCAGTGGCAACACCAACATTGCTTGGAACCCAGCAAAACCTGGGTGACATCTGAAAAAGAGCTACAGTACTGTACACCCAGTGTTGAAGTTCTATCACCAAAGGATGAGTAGGGGAGAATAGGAGCCATGAGAGAATTGAGAGTCCACTACAAAATCAAACAAGCATCCACACATGAAATGTAACTACTGTACTGTGAAGCATATCAAATTGTAAAAAGTTCTACAATAAAAATATCCAGCTTTGGGGAAAGGCACCACAAAGTTCTTATAAAGAAAATAATGGAGAAACCACCTGTATCAATGGCTATATAGTACTACCTGGATGGGGGTTCTGAGAGTTGTTCTACTCCCCAATTAGGGGAGCTTGGGAACTTCTACTTCCCAACTTGAGGGAGCTTGGTCCACCAGGCTATTGTTTGGAGTGGCCCACAGGCCCACATATCCACCACAGCCCAGTTGGTCTAGCACTTCTTGAAGAAAACTTTCCAGCTTTCACTTGAAGACATCCACATTTCTTACAGCAATATTTCTTATACTTGCTGGGATTATGTTGAATAACCCTAGATCTGACGTTTATACAGTGTTCTCTGATATGTGCCATAGGCTCTTCACTGGTTCTATTCTGCATTTCTTTCCACATTGTTCACTTCAGAATATTGTTATTTTACTGTGTAGATTTGGGGCCTGGGCTGCCAGTATTTTCCATAGGTACTGTATATTATTTAATACCTCTCATGTCTCCTTTCTAGGGAGTACATTTGGAGAGCTTTGAGATGATCCCAATAATTTAGCTGCTTTTATCATTTCTACGTGTGCCGTATATGTTCTCTGTAGTCCCTTTATTTCAGCAATCTCTCCTGCTTTGATGGGGAAAGTGAGTATCGAGCAGTACTTATGGCGTGACAGCACAAGTGATTTAAAGTAATTGTTTATTACTGTTGAGACCGAAATTGGAATATGCAGCAGTTGTAGGTGCCCATATCTCAAGAAGCAGATCAATAAACTGGAAAGGGCACGAAGACATGCTACTAAATGGCTTCCAAAAAGAAAAAACACAAGAGATATGAGGAGAGGCTAGAGGTGCATACCTAAGACCACTTATACATAATCACAGACTTGTTTCATACATAGTTATCATGACAAACTAAGACGCTTGTTATCTTCTTGTACATGTGGTTTTTTAAGAATTGCCATGAAAAAAGGTTGTGATATTTTATTACTGAAATTCTTCATGCCATCATTATATGTATCATATCCCCCACCAACTTGTAAAAGCCTAAACACTTTAGGTCATAGGTTAAATATCGAGCCAAATAATATCTCTCATTTATCCTTCATTACTTCAGAAAGCAATACACTAAGCCATTATATACATAATAAGTTTACAATTAAAATTCATGCTTAATAATAAGCCAATGGCCTTCATTTAAAAATTATGATCTTACTCTTTTGCAGGATGAAAATATTGAAACAATGTACTTTTATCATTCCTTTAATAATAAAACATTACTTGGTGTTATTTTTGATACTTTGCAGGAACGTGCGACACTCTCCTGAGGTAACAAATGAGGCACTGTCAATGCATTCTGTCAATCCTAAGGCCAGTTCCAGATGCACATCTCATCAATGAGAAATAAATATTACACTTGGAATAATATAAATACAATACACCAAAACAATGTTCACATCCCTCAAATATAGCACAGTACAATGAAAAAACAAACTGTTACAACCCAATAGCACAACTTGACAGTCAAGTCTCTAGTACAGTACCAGTATGACAAAATATTCATTTATATCGTATCGGCCTCCTCCCTCTTAACATGGTAATAGTAGAAAAAATATGGCACAATAGGCCACAGTTTTAATTCAAAATGATATACAGTAGTAATAAAGATTTGCAAACAACTAACACTTGTTAGATTGTCTACAAGTTCTCGGGCTTTCCTCAATGTTATCGGTAGTGAGGAAATGTATCATGTGTCGTAACGTGGTGATGTTGGTAAATACGAGAAATCCATAATATTGCAATGAAATGCAGTGTACTCAAAACAGCTTAACCAATATTCACCATCATATGCAGATACTGTACACATATGCAGCTAACTCATAACCCACAAAATGATTATGTTTTGCTTAAAAAATAATTGAAAAAATGAGAACAACAACAATCATAATTTACTGTTTATCACTAAAATCAGGACAGATCATGCAGCTTGGTAACTGCCCTAAAGGACACTGCAGACAAATCATGAGGCATCAGGTACAAAAGCAGAAGATAATTAAAACTTTTTTTGTTTACGAAATTATAGTTATATGTAGCACCATGTCCCTCAGTTAAAATGCAAAATTACAC